TCACAGCAACCTCCAACTCCTGGGCTCAAGCGAGTCTCCTGCCTCAGCCTCCCAAGTAGCTGGGACCACAGGCGCCTGCCCCAATGCCCGGCTATTTTTTTGGTTGCAGCCATCATTGTTTGGCGGGCCCGGGCTGGATTTGAACCTGCCACCTTAGGTGTATGTGGCTGGCACCTTAGCCACTTGAGCTACAGGTGCCGGGCCCAGAGCCTCACTATTATCCAGGCTGGTCTTGAACTCCTGGCCTCAAGTAGTCCTACCTTAGCCTCCAAACCCAGCTTAGAAGCAATTTCTAGGCTCTTCATTCCATAAGAAGAAATCAGCACTCCTCTAGTACTTTCCGTTTATCCTCTCCATAAGAGCACATTGTGTTCCAACAAAAGAAGGAAAAACGCCACGTGGGCAATAGATGTACCTTCTGGATGTCTCCTCATGGATGTCGCTGAAAGATCACAAATTCGAAAATTCTCTCTCTGCACTCCCTGTATTGCATCCATACCACCTTATGCCAAACGCCCTAGAGTTATCATCTAGGCCATTTCTTGTTCCTCCTCTCCTCCATGTCAGATCAGCCTCCAAATCCCATCAGCCCTTTGTCATTTCTTGTTTGGTTACTCTAATATTCACTTCACAGATCTCCCTGCCTCCTGGCTGATCCTTCCTGTCTATTCTTTACCTTGACATCAGCGTGATCTTGCTAAAAGACAAACCTGGGTATATTACTCTTCCTGGCTGCCTCTCTAATATGTAAGAAAATTGCCTTCTCTCTCCTCTGATCTTTTATCAGCTTAGAGATTTCCTGTTCCGTCTTTTCTGGGGCCACCCTTACTATCCTTAAGTTCAGGAGTCATTTAGAAATGCCTTACTTTAGGGGCAGCACCTGTGGCTCAAAGACTAGAGCACCAGCCCCATATACCATAGGTGGCAGGTTCAAACCCAGCCCCTGCCAAAAACTGCAAAAAAGAAAATAAAAAGTAAAAAAATGCAAATAAAAAAAAAATGCCTTACTTTCTATCTTCACTTTTTCTCCAGTTTGTTAGAACCCTCTTTTGTTCTCCACAACGATTTTTACCTCAGTTATTTTATTTATTTATTTTTGAGACAGAACCTTAAGCTGTCCCCCTGGGTAGAGTGCCATGGCATCACAGCTCACAGCAACCTCCAACTCCTGGGCTCAAGCAATTCTCCAGCCTCCACCTCCCAAGTAGCTGGAACTACAGGCGTCTGCCACAATGCCGGGCTATTTTTTGGTTGCAGCCATCACTGTTGTTTGGCGGGCCCAGGCTGGATTGGAATCTGCCAGCTCAGGTGTATGTGGCTGGCACCTTAGCCACTTGAACCACAGACACTGAGCCTTTACCTCAATTATTCTGCAAGTATTATCTAATTACTTTTCTTTTTTTTTTTAAGACAGAGCCTCAAGCTGTCCCCCTGGGTAGAGTGCCATGGCATCACAGCTCACAGCAACCTCCAACTCCTGGGCTCAAGTGAGTCTCCTGCCTCAGCCTCCCAAGCAACTGGGACCACAGGCGCCCACCACAACGCCTGGCCATTTTTTGGTTGCAGCCATCATTGTTGTTTGGCGGGCCCGGGCTGAGGATTCGAACCCGCCACCTTAGGTGTATGTGGCTGGCGCCTTAGCCGCCTGAGCCACAAGCGCCAAGCCTCTAATTACTTTTCTCTCAAAACAGTGTGAGCTCCATAAATGTAAGAACATGATCTTTTTTTTTTTTTATTTTGAATGCTCTATGCCTGGTTCAGTGCCTGGCCCAGAATCTGCTAAACATTTGAAGTATGAAGTTTACAGTACCTGCAACTCCAGGCTCTCGGTGTGTGGTTTCCTGATGAGAAAGGAGGCACTCTCATCCCAGACAGGGGCTGAAGTTTGGGACATAGTCTGATGGAGAAAAGGTGTTACCATCAGTGATTTATACTGTCTACTCATATCCCTCTCATCCCCCTCTCCACACACATACCTTGAGACCCTGGGATGGGGTCTCACTATATCACTCAGGCTGATGTTGGACTCCTGGGCTTAAGTGATCCTCCTGCCTCAGCCTGACAAGTAGCTGAGACTATAGTCATGAGCCACTGTGCCCAGCATCCCTCCCATTCTTAACCCTGAAGAATTTGCTAATACTTTTCTGTTTGTTTAGGTTTTGCCTCCTCCCAGTCCCATGCCAGTACCTTGGTTTTATGAGAAGTATCTCCCACAATGAGAGTAGCATAAGGACTGGGAGACTTGGTGCCTTTTCGGAGCTGGAAAGAGAATATTCATTCAGAATATGAAAGACAAATTAAATTCAGACCCAGTTAGGCAGTTCCCCCCATACACACACAAATTATATTCATAGCCAGCAGCCATGTCTCCATTATTACTTGACAGCTACTACTTTCATGGCCTTAGACAATTCTATCCATTTCCTCACCACCCTCAGAAAGAGAGGGGCCATTTACTATTCCAAAGACCCCAGGGGCTGGCCAGAGCATGGTGACTCATGCCTGTAATCCTAGCACTGGGAGGTTGAGGCAGGTGGACTACTTGAACTCACAAGTTGTTTTGTTTTTTTTTTTTGAGACAGTCTCAATGTGTCACCCTAGATAGAATGACATGGCATCATACCTCACAGCAACCTGAGACCAGACTCCTGGGGTTAAGCAATTCTCATACTTCCCAGCCGCCCAAATAGCTGGGACTACAGGTGCCTGACACAATGCCCGCCTGATTTTTTTGTTGCAGTTGTCATTGTTGTTTTAGATGGCCCAGGCTGGGTTTGAGCCCACCAGCTTCAGTGTATATGGCCGGCACCCTACCTACTGAGCTATAGGCGCAGCTGAGCTCACAAGTTTGAGACTAGCCTGAGCAAAAGCAAGATCCCGTCTCTACCAAAAATAGAAAAAGTGAGGCAAGAGGATCGCTTGAAACTTGGTGCCCGTAGTACAGTGGTTATGGCACCAGCCACATATACCGAGGCTGGTGGG